GCAGACACACCAAACCCAGGCTTTTTTCAACCTAAATCCTGCTGCCTCTGCATGAGTCAGCAGAGAGCTGGCACCCCAGGGCTAACCCTGCCAAAGTCATCATCCGCTCCAGGAAGGGAGAAGCCTCCACTGACCAGCGAAATATTTCTGTAATTCTTAGAACCCGGTGACCAGGTCACTAGATTTAAGGCTGGCTCACCTTGCAGCTGCCGAGGCAAATAGTGACATCCCATCTTTTTATGCCACATTAATCTAAACAAAGCCTTTGCCAGATGTCCGCCCTTGTCTGCATAGTAGATGGAAAGCTGAGGGGTTTCTGAGTGCTGCGGGAGCAATGAGCAAGAAAAGGCGAACTTTGTCCCGGTTTCAGTGGATCACGGGGCAGATCTTAAGACTGGCCCTGAGGCAGAGGCAGAAGCCAGCGACTGCACTGCTCCACTGCTCCGCAGGCAGCTACACTGGGGGGAGCCCACCAGGAAAACTCCAGCTGAGCTTGCTGCAAGCCTCCCCTCCAGCCTGAGCAGCTTGCACAGGGCATGAGCCTCACGAGGCTTTTGTAGACACCCAGGGACAAAGGTGAAGAAGCAATTATTTCTGCCACCCACGAGGGCCAGGCACTCTGGGGGTAGATATTGTTCGATTCTCTCGGTCACTCCTCAGGTAAGTGCTGCCCTCACCATCTCCCTTATGTAGGTAGGAAACTGAGGCCCCGGGATGCTGGGGGACTTGCTCAAGCTCCCACAGCTGTCAGGGCCTGAATTCGAACCCAGGGCTGTCTGATTTTAAGTCCAAGTTCACTCTCTTGTTCTTCACCATGTGAACACAGAGTATGGGAAGAAGCTGAAGTGACCAAGGAGGCTTCACGGAGGAGGAGGCATTTTTGCTGAGCACTGAAGAGCTATTAGGAGCCAGGAGGTTTAGAGTGGGGAAAGGCCTTTCCCAGAAAGAGCGGGAAAAGGAACTAAGGCACAGATGTAAACAGCCAGGAGGGCAAAGCCGCAGGTCGAAATGGAGTCCCTTCAAGCCCCCAATAAATCTCCCCCACTCGTCTCAAAGGAAGAGCTGGTAGGCACTGCCTCTTTGGAACAAAACTCTTAGGCCAAGATTTAAAAATTTTCCTTCCTCTGGAAAAAACATCTCCAGTTTCAAGCCTGCATTTTTGGCAACCTCGTTCCCCAAGTCTCTCAGCATTCAGGAGAAATGATGCACCAGGAAGAGAGCACAGGGCGTCCAGTAGGACCCACAGGGCGGGGAAAGGAAGGAAGAGGGAGAAAGGCCTGGGCAGGGTTCTTCTCTGGAGGGGTGCCACCAACAGAGGGAAAGAAAGAAGCTCCCCAGTGCCTGCTAAACACGCAAGCATCCTGGGCTGCACGCGCCCCCTGGTGGTGCTTAAACTAGATGACACTTGAAATCCCACTCTGCCTTTCAAGAAGCCAACAAGGAAAAAGCACCTGCTAGGTGCATGGCGCCAAGATGTGTCCTAAGGCAAAGGACTTCAACCTCTGTGACTCATTTCTCCGTCAGGAGAATGAATTTGCTTCCAGTCGGAAAGGTACTTAGCTCAGAGAGACTGACAGCAATCAATAAAACTGCGGGAAGAGGAAACATTATGCAATTAAAGACAGCCCTGATGGAAGGAGGTCTATGCCAACAGACCCAGCTGCTGGCAAGGGCAGTAACAGGCAGTCGGGTGGTCCGAAAGAGTCGATTCAGTTCTACAAAGATTCTTGGCACCCGCTCTTCATTGACACTTGGGACCACATGACCCTCAGGCGCAGGCCTGGAGAAGCTCACAGTTCAGTGGAAGAGACAACATGTAAATAGCATGTGTGGAGGATACTTCTCTGCCCTGCTGACTCTGGCTTGGGGCAATGGCCTGTTAGAGGGTGTGACGTGAGCAGAGGCCTTAAATGCACCTGCGTTATGAGGCATGGCCTCCTGCGCTCTGGCGATCCACTTTGAGCCTGGCCTCCAGAATGAGAACATGTGCAGGAGACTTGGAACCAATCTTCCTGATTCATGGCCTTAGCCAGACTTGCTGCAGCCAAGAGTGAATCAGTACTTCCTGTAATAAGCCACCTAATTTGGGGGCGATCTGTTACACAGCATTATTGCAGCAATCTCTGACTGATACATAATGACAACATGGTACAATAACTGCTTGGTTGGAGGTATACCCACATGAGCTCAGAGGAAGCCCTGAGCAGTCAGAGAAGGCTTCTGGGAGGAGGTGGCATGTGGACTGAGCTTGAAAAGATAAGTATGAGAAGAAGGTTGGGAGATGTTCCAGACAGAGGAACCACAGACAGGGAACAAAGGCAGGGAAGAACATGAGGTTGGTGGGCAAGCTTCACTACAAGATGCTGAACGTTTCCAGAGCACGTGGGCTGAGATAATCACAGTCACAGCCCCAGCCTGGACATGGCAGAGCAGGAATCCCACACCAGCCGTGGCAGCCGTCAAATCTGACAGTAATCTTTCCTGGCGAGTGATCTGGCCACCCCTGTTCCACCCCGGGAGATGTTCCATTGTCCATTGACCTCCACGGGCCGTGGCCCAGGGGAGAGGATCTGCTGGCCCGTGAACCTGCATGGCCACCTCTGAGCTGGGCATTGTTGAGACAGCGGTTCATTCCTGGGGCTACACCCCGTCAGGTCCTCGTTTTGGGTTTCGTCACCGATGGTGGCCCACTTCTGGGCACCCAAATCTGCTCCAGCCAGGACTTCACTCACTGATGTAATGCCAACCTCATTCTTCACAGACACCCATAGGCACTCAGGACGCCCGTGGGGGGAGGGAGGCTCACGCACACTCACACGGGCACACTCCTTCACACTCCCGTGCCTGCTACAGCCCACCCCGCTCTGCCAGGACGTCCCGGCTCTGGCCCAGGGGCCCTGCCGTGGCCACACCAAACAGCGCTTCCTCTCCTTCTCACACGGGGCGGGGCAGGCCCCTTCTCCCGCGGACCCCCTTCCCCACAGCTCTTCCCCCTGTGCAGGCCCGTGGTCCTGGCCATGACACCACCGGACTCTGCATGCTGCCCCAAGAGTCCCTCCGAGGGCCGGTGGCTGCCAGCTCCCTCTGTCTCTTACTGAAGGTTCTGGCTGTGTTTGGGGCTCCCACTGCCCCCCCCATCCCCCAGCCCCAGGGCCCTTCTCAGGCCAGCGTCGGAACCGCCCGCCCCTCCCCGTTCCTGGCCCAGGCTTCAGCCTCCTGCCCTGCCTGTAGGCACCACAGCCTTGGGGGCCTAGTCCAGCGTGCGCTTGAAGGCAGGTCGCTTAATCTCTGAGCCTCAGCATCCACATCTAAGGACAGGGACATGGGCCCTGCCTCCGTCCTGAGCTCAGCTTGGCCTGATCACGGCATGCAAGGGTACAGGGCGCTCTGATCTGCCTGTCATGGAAGTCAGGGCCCCTTGATTGACAGCCCCACTGGAGTCACGTGGACCGGTGGGGGAGTTCCCAAAAGTGACGGGTGCCGGACAGACCAAGGAGGAGCAGATGTGTGGCTGTCTCCGGCGGGGATTGAGGGGCGGGTATGGGCAGGGGACGGGGTGTGGGCAGGGCTTTCCGCCTCTAAGGCGAGGCAGCCTGGCCAGCTCCTCCACTCTCTGAGAGAACAACCCCCACCCCAAACGAAAGCCCTTCCCTCAGCCCCAGGCTGCCTGCTGGCTGGACACCTCGGTTTTAACTTAATCTCCAGAGGGACTGGTTCCTGGCTCGGCTCTGGAAGGAGACGTGGACCAGATGGAGGGAGACGGGCCAGACGGAACCGGTTTGCAGAAAGGGCAGCAGAGGCCCCGAAGCAGGAGACACCCGTAAAACCCCGCGCAGCCGCGTTACTGCCAGGTTCTCACTTCCCCCGAACACCCCCTCTCACCCTCAGACACTTCGAGGTGACGTCTGTGTCACCAGGTTCCAGCGGAGGACACGGCCCGGTGACCACAGCACTCAGCCAGACAAAGGTCTCTCTGGCTCTTCCTCCCCACGCTGCCTTCTTTTCTGACCCACACGCCCCGCAAACTTGAGGGGAGGCCTTGCCTCAGGGTCCAA